GAAGGATCAAACTGTCACAAGTGCTTTAGTGTGCACACGGCCTACGTTTTGTCCATCAGTCAACTAGCTCGGAACAAAGAATATATGTCAACGTTCAAGGATATTAACAATTAAGATATCTCTGCATAATGTTTAAATGTTAGCTTTTGGTAGGCTACAGAGGCGGCGCCAGGCGGTAGCTTGCAGTTGCTACAGCAACACCAACAATTGGCCTAGCAACTGCTAAGCAACCCCAAGACATGTATGGGTTTTTTTTATATGTGAAATTCATAATTTGAAAAATTATTGATATGCTACAGTACAGTACAAGTAGACTACTTCTGGGTGTCTCATTCAAGCTCGGCTCCGTGTGTGTGGCAAAAGCGCACGAGTGAGCGAGAGAGAGAGAGAGAGAGAGAGAGAGAGAGAGAGAGAGAGAGAGAGAGCAAGATTGTTGTTGCTGCACTAACGGATATTAGAAGCTGTTTCTACAACTAAGTGAAAGGAAAGTCCTCTCCTGTCAGATAACGTCAGTGAGGTGAGGTGAAGGACTCTCAGTGTTTAGATATATTAACTTTAGTCTAAGTTATCTCAATGGGTCTCAAAACAGTTTGATCACCATAATGTAAACAAGAAGCCCATTTCCGAGGCACACCTTCATATGCTCATTATAGTTAGGCTATAAAACAATAAGAGCATAAATGAAAAACAGGTAGACCTATGAAATACTATATGATAGTAAAATAAGAATACAGTTTAAAAGGGGAGTGATTAGTAAAATATCCATAAAGAAATCTGTTTGTTCTGTTTCATATGAGTGTTGAGAGATGTATCCATGGATCTCTTAATTTTGCTCTCAAAGTGCACCAGATTGATGCTTTTAACTTAAATAATTTAGGAGGCTGGTTCGCCCCCCACTTATAAAAAATAGCACTTTATCCTTCCTATATGCCGTGAGCTGATTATCGAGCCTTCATTGTAACGGTCGCGGCAGTGGCGGTTCTAGACCAATTTGACTGGGGGAGCCATTGGGGGGCCAGTTATTTTCTGAGGGGGGCACAATAAATGCAGGACGAAAAAGAGAACTAGACAGTATGAAGTAATTGCGCATAAGAAAACAATGCAATACAGTTATTGGTATTTGTTTCAGTACACTTATTTATTTCAGATATATCTTACAGTTATTACTGTTAGCTTCAGCTTAAGTTATAGTACCATTTTTGCACTAACACCATATCTTATTTATATAAAAATAAAGGCAATGAAAAGTTACATCTCTACTTTACATCTACAATTACACGGATACAATAGTTTAACTCACCTTCAATTATCGTGGTAGTCTCTCGAAAAGTAGGTTTTAATCAGTCTTTCTTGGATGCAACAGCCTCTGATGATCCGAGATGAAAAGTGTTTGTTTTTCGCGCGCTTCAGCCGGACAGTGAAAGTGAGTGCACCGCTCTAATGGGTCCTGAGTGCACCGCTCTAATGGGTCCTGAGTGCACCGCTCTAATGGGTCCGACTAGAATGACGAATAACGTTAGTTCCGCCTATTCCGTCATTCAATAAATCATGTAATAAATCATACATTTTTCATATTTCACACGTTTTTTCACTTTCATTTTTAGGGGGGGCAACAGGGTGTCAGAGGTCATGTTAGGCCAATTGGCCCCGCCCTGGCCCTCCCTAGAACCGCCCCTGAGTCGCGGTGTAGCCTACTGTATGTGCGTGTGGGAGTGTTGGGCGGTGGAACAATTTCAGCTGTAGGCGCCATATAGCTACCTTAATGGGAAACGGCCTAACATGTTTGAGGGCAACCTCTATGCAAAGGCGGGCCAAAGCTACCCCACAGGCACCCCAACAGAAAATCTCCTGGCCGCCGCCCATCGAGGTAAGGCCCCTATGTGGCTACAGGCCCTTTTAGGGTGAGGGTTCATCGAAACATACGCAGCCATTGAGCAGTTAATTGACGGGCGCCCCAGAGCCATTGAGAGAAAGAGTTTCCAGGAAGTGCTTGGCTGGGAAATTTGAATGCGGAAACAAATGGCCACAAACTGAAAAAACGCGATAGAAGCACCAATATATATATGTACTAAGTTTAAAACATAAACAATTGTTAACTAAAAATGTCGTAGGATTCTGGAAGTGTCAAGATTTAGTTACCGTACAGTTTTAACAAGAGGAGGCCCCAACATTTGGCCATTGCTTAAAAGAGGCGGTTCTTTATTACTATCAATTCTTTTTTTATGTAGCTTAAACCTGAATTTTCATCTCCTGGCCGCTTCGCCATATGCACCTGAATTGGAAGGGCCTATTAATCGTAACTGGTCCCAAGGTTTAAAAATGGACGCACATGGCGCTCGTTTGGATACTTTTTTTGCGTCCTACTGTTTTTCGAAAATGTTTTGATTGATCAAGTGCTGTACGGTTTTTTCAGGAGTTTCGCAGTGTGGGAATTAAGCTACTTTGCCTAAATTAGCGATATACCGTTAATAACTCAATACGCAAATATAATCCGCCAAGTGATCCCCATCCCTGAAATGGCTAACGTGCAGCTATCCACGATGCATTGCACAGCTGCATGACAATGAAAGGGCACCACGCCATGGAAGTTACATCCTATGTCAGACATGGTAAATACGTTCCTGTACATTTAATATTATAGACAGAATAAGATGCGAAAATCAAATCATTTGGCGGAGGCCAAATGCATGTCCCAAAGGCAAAACCCATTTTCTAACGTTTATAANGTGTGTGTGTACACAGTGTCACAGTTTGGTACTGTGCCAAAACTGACAGGCTGTCAAAAGAAATGGTGACAAGGTTAACATGCTGAGTAGCATCTTGTGTTTGTACACAAGATGCTACTCAGCATGTTAACCTTGTCACCATTTCTTTTGACAGCCTGTCAGTTTTGGCACAGTACCAAACTGTGACACTGTGTACACACACACACACACACACACACACACACACACACACACACACACACACACACACACACACACACACACACACACACACACACACACACACACACACACACACACACACACACACACACACCCATGTTTGCAGTGACTGTTCTGCAACAGGAAGCTGGACAGGAGACGGCCTGCTTTATACTCATGTGACAATTTATAGGGAACACTTTACAATATGAAAGAAGTATTTCTTGCTGTACCGGATTTGATTCAGATGTATTCCTAATAAATTGGCCACTGAGCGAATGTAAAACACATTGAATGGATCTACTTGAAAGTGGTTTAGATATAATCTTTAAATGAAAGATAAGATCAAAGAATATTATAAGTGGACTGTGTGTTTAGAATAATTACTGAGGACTTTTTCATTTGTATGGAGACAGGTGTGTAGCGTAAATTACAAAATAATACCAAAATAAACCCACACTAATAATCAAGTTTTGTTGTGAACTTTTTCCTGAATCGAAGATACAACTCTTCCCAACACTAAAGAAAATAAACACAATAATAAAACTAACAATATTCAACACTAACATAGAGCTTTTACTTAAGTTATCAGGAAAAAATACCAAACATGTGAATAGAATATTTGTGTTTTGGACCGGGGCAATTTGAAAACATAACTTAGTTTAGAATTTGCATAAGCATTTTCATTATCAGATAATACAACAGCTGCAGCTCTGTTCACTTCTGAATCATATTTGCAAATGACCACTATATTTCCATGCAGTTAAGATTTGCACTGACTAACCAATTCACTTATAACAGTCACATGACATGGAGGATACTACACTTCTTCCAAAGGGCAATCTGTTAAGGACAGAAACTAGTACACACCCAACAGAGAGTGGCAGAAACTTTTGTTCCATATCACAAACTTTTGAACTTTCAATTCCCTTTACAAACTCAGCTGGCTGAACAGATCAGTTTCTGTGATAATGAGTTATGCATGCCGTGGTATTAACACTAAGCTACCGAGAGAATGAAACTAAGAAGAGATACACTTAAGGAAGTGTATGCTGAGATAAAGAGAACGCTTATCAGGTCTGGTAAACGTTAACCAACTAGGTTTACTCAAGTACAGTACTTTGAGTTACTTGTACTTGACTTGAGTATTTCCATTGTTTACTACGTTCTTCTACTCCATTACAATTCAGAGGTAAATATTGTACTTTTACTCCACAACATTGATGCAATACCTTTAGTTACTTATTTCATTAATAATAAAAAACAATATAATCACAACACCTAAAGAACACTTTTTTCACCTTTACCAGTTTGATAAACACGTGAATGCAGCAATAATTATAACCAAAACATATAATACATTATTCTTAAATGGGCCAATCTGCATAATGAGTACTTTTAGTAGTTTAAGTATATGTTGATGCCAATACTTGGTTACTTTTACTTAGGTACAAGATCTGAGTACTTCAACCACCTCAGATTAAGCTGATAATACTTTATATTATTCTGAAATGGGCCATTGTGCAGAATGAGTACTTTTACATGTGTGTACTGTTACTTGAGTAAGATTTTGAATGCATGTTTTTTTATTTGTAACAGCGTATTCCTACACTCTGGTACTTATATGTACAAGATATAGTACTTCTCCCCCCTCTGGAGTTATATGCTACCGAGTGAATGAAAGGAAACATGGAGTTAAGCTGAGGTAAAGATAAGTTCCTCAGGTCTGTTGGTGTTACCGAGTTCCCTGGACGGTCTGGTTCCCACAGGGGAGGGACCGGGCACACAGGCGACCGTTGGCCAGGAAAAACCCGCTTAATGTGGGCAGCTACATTTCAAATCCCGGTGACTTTACCACAAGAACCGCACAGCATTACTACATTGTTTCCAAGTTCAGTAAAGGGCTGTCAACTTTACCTCCTGCACGGACAGGCTATGGGGACGGATTTCTAGTGTCGGTTCTCCCTCCTTAACGCTTCTTAACGGACACAAATCCCTCCGCCATGTGCATGCAGGACACCGAGCAGCCCTTACCGTTTACCGGACAAACACACCGGGTTTTGTTTGACTCACCAGCAGCACCAACATGAACATTTTCTCCTCTCTCATCCGACTCCCGTGGCGCTGGTTCCAAGAGGCCATGATGCCGTTGCCACGTCTGGATACGCAGGCGCATTCGTTTTTTCCACGGATTCTTGGGCACGGCGCAAGGCTTCATGGGAAATGTAGTTATTGTGGGGAAGATTCCGCGGGAGGTGTTCCGCCCACCTGGCGAGTGAAATACGGGACAGATCTTGTACTTGGGTAACTTGTGTGCTTTTATTCTATTTTATTGTATGTTTTTATTGTGTTTCTATTGTGTATTGTGTTTTTCACTCTGTAGACTATTGTGTTTTTAGCACGTCTTTATGATGTTTTAATGCTTTGTCAAGCACTTTGTGACTATGTCTGTGAAAAGCGCTTTATAAATAAATTGTACTTACTTACCTACTTACTTATTTGCTTACTTCATTAAAAGTAGAAGTACCAGAGTGTAGGAATACCCTGTTACAAGTAAAAGTCCTGCATTCAAAATGTTACTCAAGTAAAAGTACAAACGTATTAGCTTCAACATATAAGTGACAAAAGCACAAGTAGCCTACTCATTATGCAGATTAGCCTAAAATAGATAGGTAGATAGATAGATAGAGATAGATACATTTCCTATCAATAAAATCATTTTTGATCCTAAATATATTGGTTTGTTTTTTTCGGTTGCATTGTTCTTGTGTCTTGCATAATAAACTTAAGTATAAAATCATCATTGATATTTATTCTCTCCTTTACTTATTTGCATTGCATTTGATGTTGAGGTAATCCAGAAGTAAAAGACAGTAATCAGGTTACATTACTTTTGTATTGTTATACGTGGATTGGGTTTCTGATTAATTTTTTCTAAAAGTAATTGTAACAGATTACATGTTTAAAGTAGCCCTCTCAACCCTGCATGTTCGATAGCAACGAGTGTATTCATGATTTTGTTTTTATCACCATATTGCATTGGAACACAACTAATTACACAAGAGGCTAATCAGTAAATTGGCTTGTGAGTGAACGGCTGTTAATTAGCTCTTTATCAAATCGACTTTCTTTCCTTTGGTTTAATTACAGCTTTGAAATGTGCATGCCCAGTATCTCATGTATGCAGTGATTGGGTCCATTCCCCTGTACAAATGAATGCATTCAAAAAAAGGAAAGTTTAAAAAAAAACATACAAAATTAATAAATCACATACACAATTAATACATCTGAACAGAATTGAGTAGAAAACGTGCAACCTTAACTTAAATTAATAACATCTTATCAGGTAAGTTAGTTAGTTAGGTGGATATATCAAACTGAGGTTTAAAGAAAGAAAACTGGTTTGTTTCTTGCTTTAATTTCACTATTTTCTGTATATCCATCTTTCTTTCTGTATATGTTTCTATTGTATTCTTTTTATGTACCTAATGTTATCATGCACCCTGATGTTGTCAAGGTTTTGTGTATATAAAGTTTGATGTAGCCTATATATATTCTTGAAACAAAATCTAAAAGATATAAATAAATATATCAGGGGTATAGGCTAGTAACTCAGAATAGAATAAAATAAGCATAGATCATCAAGGTTTAGTTACTCTCAATGCAACGCTCCAAATGATTTCATTTATGATTGGAGTTTGGCTTATATTACCCAGCATACATCTGACTGCCATAACAATACAATACAATACAATGGCTTTGGTCCAGAGTTTATCAAATGTGTTTACTGTTTGAGTTTCATTGAACAACAACAGAGTAACACTGAAATGCCCGGTGGAGTTGTATTGCCAGGTAACCCCCGGAGTCCCAGACAGCAACCTGCAGGAGAAAAAGCTTTTCCCAGAAGCCTCTCTGTCTCTCCCAGCTCCTCCAGGCTGTGATTCTTCTCCCAAACATTGCCTGCTTCTGCTCCGGACGGACGCATTTTTGTTGCGACCTCTTCCAGGTTTCGGGGGTGTCCAAGCGCACTTCCGTCCCATTGCGCTTTCCAAAATCTTCCCCTTACTATCCCCGCTTCTACTAACCCTCCCCACTCCCCCGATCCCCCCTCCCCTCTACTCGGTGGTTTCGTCCGACTCTTGCGGAGAGAGAGAGCGCAGTTGTCGGCTGCAGGTCGCCGGAGAGGGACGCACCACAGCGGCTGAGGACGCAGCACTAGAACCCAATTCGGTTCCGTTTCTATTGTTTCTCTGTGTATCTCTGCCTGGCATTTGTCATCAACTTGGGGAATTACAATCATCTTCCAAGGTAAGAGGAAAACCACTTTTCCCCCTTTCTTTTCTTTGGGAAAATAACTGAAATGACTGGTAGAAAAGCACTTTGTTAGGTGTGTTGTTGTGCACCAGTTCCCTGCTTGTATCGAGCTTTAGATTTACAGGCGGAATGGATTAAATTTGGATTAAAAAAAAAAATGAGCACAATAGCATGCTTAAGCTGGAGTAACCTGTTTAGAAAAATAAAAAAAAATATCCCTCCATCAATAATGGATTGGCTAAGCTGTGTTCGCCACGCTGTGGGGTCCGTTTTTCTCTGGACCATTTCTCTATCAGAGCCAGGTTTAAGCAATGTGGCGGGTTTCTCTTTATTCTAAGCCTTTAACACTTTTGTGGCCACTTTAACAGTTTGAGGCGAGGGGTTTTGTCCGTTGATAGCATGTGTTATTCAGAGCAGTAAGCGGTTCCTTTATGCCAAGCCAGTTTTACTTTCCACTCACGTTTCATCCCAGGATCAGAGGAGCGTTTGTGGGCTGCAGGATCAGCCTGTGCAGCCACATTAGACTGTCTCAAACTTACTTTGTGCTGCACTGTATACCGATCCAGACCAATGAATGCAAACTTCAAAAATAATCTCATGGGGAAATTTAATTGACATATTCTCTCTGGAAAATGTATTGTCTAAGTGCTGTGCGTCTCGCTTGCATTGTTTCCCCTCAAATTGGCTTTTTTTCGTAGCAAGTAGCAACCTATTTCTTAAGACTGCCCATAATGACCTCATTGCTTATCAATTCCAATTAGCACATTGGCTTTTACGCGCGGAATGTGCACCCTTTACGCACATTCAGAGGGGGATTTCAATTAATGTATTCTTTCCAAATCCCAGCCAACGTTCGTGGGACTAATTCTGCATGAAAACACTTCAATTCACCTCAGAAAGTCATTATTCATGAGCCTGTCACATGGATGAATTGCTTGTCCATTTCTCCCCCGAAACATAGCCTATACAGATCTGTTGTATTTTGGATGCTGAAGAAGGATAGGGTCAGCTACCCAGAGCTGGGGATGTCACACAAAGACATACAGTGTTATAAAATGAGACAATTTCCCTCTTACATGTTAAAGTTGATTATTCTGAAGTGCATTGTTGGGTTGATGTTGCATATCGACAGAGGGCAGTGTTGAGCAGCTCTGACAGCTGAGAGAACACCTTGCCAGGTGAACTTTTCTGCATACCTGCTGTATCTACACAGCAAGAGTTATGTGTCTGTGTCCTGGAGCAAAGGTGCAGCACTCATCAAGCTTTCATATATTTAAACTTAGGCGGACATTGCTTTAATGGAGTTTTGCTTGTGTTTCTTTCCTTTTTTCTGTTTCTTGATTACATGTCAAGCACTCTTTGAACAACAGGGATCAGCTCTAAGAGACATTTAGTCCAGCTGTAAATGTCCTAAGCCTAACTATCACATTAATCAAAACACATTTTCTCTTAAAAAGCTTTATTTCTTGCACCACAGAAACCAGCACCACCACCGGGGCTTTTAGAATCTTTTTTAAGAGCTTCAATTGTTTTTAATGTGGTACATTTTATTGAGCCTCAGTGGTTCAGTGTCTTCAACAGCTTCAATGAAGAGCCCGGTATTAGTCATTAACACTCAAATGGCTCTCAAATGCAAATGAGAATGGCTGGTTTGGGTTTTGGGAAACATGGCAGATGACATAATGCATTTTCTGTGGAGCTCTACTTTTTTTTGGTGTGAAACCACTCTGTTTCTTTTTGTCGTGGGCAGAACATATTTATATAGCAGTCCCAACATAATTTAATAACTCTAATTAGTGATCCAATATTCCTATTAATATCTCGCTTCAGTATTATTCCTCCAGTAGAATAGTAATTCATCACAAACACAGCACACAGTCTTTTATTCTCCCTGTCTGGAATTCAAATGCCCTTTTTTATTTTGTTCATTCATCGAATATCTCATTCATATTTGGATTGATATTCATATATTCTCACATGTTTCAGCGGGCCCACATGCTTGTCTTACGGATGATTAACACTTTTGTTATTTCGAGAGCTGTTTTAGTATCCTGGGTCAGTCTTTTCAAATGGAAATCAGGTTTTCTTCTTTGATGAAATTATGAGGGCTCTTGACAGGTCGTGGTGGGGGGGGGGGGGGGGGGGACCAGCAGAGCAAAAGAGATCTGAAACAAAACTGTATTGACCCCCCCCTCCAGACCCCTCTTAAAACACCTCTATGTTCACTTTCCCTCTGCCTCTCCTCAGTGTCCTTGTAGTTACAATATGTGAAAGTGGTTTTGATTATACATGGAGATCTATCCGTGGCATCTGATGTCGACATTAATAATTCATTTTCATTAACTAATATGATGTGGAGTAGAGGAGCCGACAGCTTCTTCATCAACATTTTAATGATACATATTTAAACTGTGCCGTGTGGATTATTTCTGTTGGCGGGTATTATTCAAGAGGGGACAAACGGATATGAAAGTTTAATGTCTGGAGAACTTGATCTCTCCCGCTCGTCCATCCGATATTACCTTTCCAGGAAAAAGGAAACAAAGCTGTGTGTGTGTGTGTGTGTGTGTGTGTGTGTGTGTGTGTGTGTGTGTGTGTGTGTGTGTGTGTGTGTGTGTGTGTGTGTGTGTGTGTGTGTGTGTGTGTACACAAATATGATTCAGTCTGGAATGGATTGAGGTCACACTCTCAGTACTGTTACCCTTCACAGGTCTGAAACTAGAAAATCAGTTTTAAAGAAACCTATTCTTTCCATATCCCAGCAAATTTGTTGGACTAATTCTCCATTTCCACCCCAAACCTAGCCAACAGAAATGTTTTTTTTTGGTTCTGAAGATAGATGAGTGTCGAGGAGAAAGCTAACCTGAGCTGGGGTTGTCACACAAATAAATAGTGTTAAAAAATGGGACAATTACCT